AGACTCGAAAAAAGTTTTTTAAAAGAAATAGCCGCTTATGCTGAACTTTCAGGTGCTTATATTCTTAAAACATATGGATTTACAGCATCTAGATATGGTCAAGGCAAAAGATATATGCTTGTTATGGAATATATGTCACGTGGTAATCTTACTAATCTTATTAAAGAAAAAGGTGATAAGATATCTTTACGACGAAAACTTGATATGGCAATGAATATTGCTAGTGGAATGAGAAAGATACATGAACATCGAATGATTCATAGAGATATTCGATCTGATAATATTCTTGTAAATGAAAATTATGTAGCTAAAATTGGTGATATGGGAATAGCACGTGTTATTGATCCTTTAAATCAACATACACAAATTGGATGTGTACCATATATGCCACCAGAATTCTATCGTGGTACCTATGATCAGAAACTCGATATTTTTACATTTGGTTTAACATTAAATGAATTTTTTACTTCAAAACAACATATATTTCAGATGTTAGCTAGTAATAAAATCGCTTTTCAAGAAGAAAGTCCTATATTTTCTGACTTGATTGCTCGATGTACTGCTGATGATCCTAAACGACGTCCGACAGCAATTGAAATTGAAAAAACTCTTGATCTATATATTACTGGTTTCAATGAAATTATACTTAAAAAACATCCAAGTTATATAAATTTATCTACTGAAGATAAAAATGAAATATTTATTGCTTTCTATCAAAAATTTCATCCACCAGCAACTGAATTTATTCGCAAGAAATTTCCATCTGAATTTCTTGATAATCCAGAAAATGCTCCTGGAGTTAAAGTTGATAAAAATGCTGCTAATGAAATTCGTATTGAATGTCCCATACAATAATTCTTTTAACAATATTCATTATACTTTGACAATTATTCAATCTAACATTTAATATTTTCATTCAGACTATAAATTCATTTTCTACATATTCATCAACTCTAATATTTTCAATCTTAAATTTTTTATTGTTCTTCGAATATTTAATTAAGATTTTCATTTTCTAGATATTTCAACTATATAATTATGAATTCAACGTCATTTGAAAAAAAACAATGTATATTGTGTAACAAAATTGGCGGTATATTAACTTGTGATGGATGTCAACAAGCTTTCTGTGGTAAACATGTTATTGAACATCGACAACAACTTAATATTGAATTAGAAAATATTATGCAAGAACATGATTTAATTCAACAAGATATTAGATTATCAATAGATAATGATTTATTATTGAAAGAAATTGATAAATGGGAAAAAGAATCTATGAAAAAAATTCAATTAGTAGCTGAAAAAGCTCGAATTAATCTAAAACAAATTCTTGAAAATTCAAATAATAAAATTTTAAAAACATGTCAAGATGTTGCATCGAAACTTCTTTCTGCACGAGAAGCTGAAAATTTCTCAGAAATTGATTTAAAACGATGGATAGAACAATTAAATGAACTTAAATCACAAACAAAATTATTATCCATGATTCATATTGTAGAAGATAATAAATCTCCTATTTATCTCATCGAAATAAAACAAACTAACACTGTAAATACATACACAAAAAATAAAGAATTATTATCATCATCGAGAAGAATTGAAGAAAGATTTATTGAAGGAAATGGTTTAGCTATAATCGAAGATGGTGGTCTTCGTATCAAACATATTGATAGTGATCATAAATTTATTTATTTTCATGGTCAAAAATCTTATACAGATGGTTGTCATACATTGAAATTTAAAATTGAACATAGTACAAGTTCTTATAGTACTTTTATTGGTATTTGTTCATCTGATATTAATTTACGACAGATTATGTATCATTTAACTGTTGTTGTTGGTTGGTTTAATACTACTGAAGTATGGCAACATGGAAGATGTATTAGAAATACTAAATTTCAAGGATCAAAAAATGATGAAATAAAAACTAATGATATAATTCAACTAACAATTGATTGTGAAAATAAACAAATTGAATTATTTCATGAACGAACAAACAAAAAACATACAGTTATTGTTGATTCTAATCAAACTCCTCTTCCATGGAAAATTCTTTTAGCATTACGTCGAAAGAATGATTGCGTTAAGATTTTACAGAGTAATTAAATTATGATATTTGTGCAATATCGTTGATGATATTGTCATATATTGCAAGAAAGATCTGTTGAGATCATACGAACATGTTTTGACAATGAAACATAAAAGTATATAACAGAATCAGAATGTAACATGTACTGATTTTCTATATCAATTTATTTAATTGTTGTTTTTTTTTCCTCATCATAGATTTTTGAGAACTTTCATGACAGAGAAATTATGTGAAAATCAAGTTGTAATCAATATGAAATAATTAGTGTATTGAAACATTGATTTAAATTGATGATGGAAACATGTAATATATCATATGAAGAAACGTAATTCAAAAATGATTTATGGCACAAACTTATTTTTTATTTTCATCACACAAAAGATTGACGATATAAATGTTTTCTACCAGTTAGGCGGTAAAAGACCAAGAGTTATTTTTTTTTTTTGTTATTCAATAGAAAAAAAAAACAAGAAATTCAAGTATAATTTACATGTAGGCACTCATCTGTCGAGTAAGAAAGAAATATTACGACTCAGAATCAATTCAACTATTTCTACGAATATAGATCGACTTTACTAAACTATTATCCCACACAAACATTGAATACAATTCACTCATTTACTAGAAATAGACAGACAACAGTTTAAAATAAATGATGACAATGAAATATATTTGTAGCGCATGCTAGGTCACCCATGCATATAATAGCTCATAGTAGATTAAGTTTTCGACTTCGGTATATCGTAAAATTTTCATATCTGATCATTGCCTGTATGAGACTATATATAAATTAAATAGCTTGTCTAGCATCATCTAATACAGATGATATAATAAATTAGAATTACTATGAGACATACCAGCAACTACTTTTACATCTGATCGATCAGCTAAGAAAATTTGTTTATCTCTAAGACCGAACACTAGATCGACAGGTTCTTAAAATTGAGTTGATAAGTTATTATTCAATTCATAGAAATTCTCAACGATAATCGCTCAACTATTAGCGTCATATATCCAATGCATAATTTTGTGAATATCATTAGGATGTGAGTGTATATAAATTCTGTTAACTTTGAAATATTCATCAGGATAATTCAATTATTTTAATGGCAATGATGAGTAGTTTATCAATAATATCTCTTTCTATTTCATTCAAATTTTCTTAAAAACTATTCATTTCTTCTTCGTATTATACCTTTGATCTGGTCATTCCTATAACTATTGTTATTAATTATTTTGGTACAACTATGTATATGCATAATATTTCGTTATTTGACATTGATATGTCCTTTTCTTTTTATTTTCTTGATTGCTGAATAATATATATTTTAGTTTTGTTTCATTTTGCAAGTCAAGCATTTGTCAATAAGTTGTTTTTTTTGTCAATACTACTAAAGCAAAAAGAAAAATGAATGCAAATTCTAAATGACAGTGTAAAACTGATGGAAAACTTTATCCGAAATGTAATAACGAAAATTATAAAAAAAAACAGTGATTTAAATCATCGTTTGCATACGACATGATATAAAACAAGTGAATATTAGTGACAAAGCAAAATATGGCAATGGAGAATATGATCGTCAATGTTATTAAGCCCATAAGAGCAAAGGAGGTTCGTATAAAGGCGACAAACCAAATAAGCAATTATTATAATATTCTGAAAGCTGAATTTTCACTCGTTGATTCTCGGTATACAAAATACGATTCTTTTATAATAAAAAGGAAAGTATAAGTATAAATAATTTCAACTATTAGCGGCGTCATATGAAGATAGACGAAGATTTTCTCTGTATGTATTTCCGTTCTGAAAAATTAATTTTACATTCCATAAGGGAACTCTTCAGATTACAGAATCTCTATGTGAAGTTTTTTCTATGAACTAAAATTTAGTTATTGTTTGTATATCTTGATATTCCATCACACTATAATCATCAAGCTGTCGTAAATAACATTTATTTCACATGGAAATATGTCACATTATTCATATCAAATAGTTACGCATGTCTACTTATATAAGATGGCACATTGCTTGTATTGATACACAAGACAAGTTAGAAAATAGCATTTGAATCAAGAAGAGCGAGTTTTTTTGTTACTAGGAAAATGATGTTGTTTGAATTATATGTTAGATCATTTTAGGTCACCATTTTGTCAACAATGAAATTCTTCATATTCTTTAGAATCTTTTTATCATATGTATTTATTGCTGAATCATTCCAAATGGATTAAGGTTTCTTTCCTGCCCAAACGATGATGGTTTAATTAATTGTAACAAAGTCAAATGTTGTCCATCGAATAATACTACATGTTGTCTTGATCAATCAATTTAAAAAAAAACACTACCCATTACATGTGGAAGTATCTATCTGAAAGGTCATCTATTAGATTGTTGCATTTATTTCCTGTTTTTATACTCATTATTTGATTGAAATCACGAGATAATAGAGCTGCAGCCATATCAATATTTTGCACGGTTGTTGTAGCATATTCATTTGTAGCTGATTCGTGTACAATTTTGTAACATCAATTTCTGATGCCAACTGTAGTGGTGTAGCACACCGATTTTACATTCCGAGACTAAACAATTGTGTGCCATCCCATGTTTTCGATTGCGATGAAATTACGACGTAGACATTTGTGTACCATTATTTTGCAAGCTATTGAAATCAAATGCTTTGATCATACGTCTCTTTTATGTGCGTTGGCCTTTCAATCGTGTGTTTCAAATGAACAATACTATGAGCAATCATATTTCTATTACTCAACTTGTTACTTCACAATTCTATTCTGTGAAATTTTGAAATGATGTCTATGCTGTTCTCCTGTTGTAGGGGTCTCTGGACAACGAAAATGACTTCAAAGGTTTTGTTTCATTCGATTTGTTATTAATTGAATGTGTTTATTTTGAAAGATGTCCATTGTTATAAGTTATCAATCGAAGTTGGTTGCATATTCTCAAATGAAGTGGAAAGGACGTGGACTTCAAAGCCTCGTGCCAAACAAAATGCCAAGCTGATTGGCATTCATGGTTGTGGACAATATCGTGAAACTTTTAAGCTCTTTATAAAAAAAACTATTGTTTTAGAACCTAGCTCTGTTATATCGAGGCCATGATTGCCGTACACGGTTTGAATAGAAATCGACTTTCAGCGGAATGTAGTACCGTTTGAAAAAAGATAAGGCAAACCAATTCTATTAATCCGTAGCATAAATTGAGTTGCGTTTTTTCTTGCCTATTATCGACAATGTGATCGGGTACCATCTGCTACGACTCTCAGTAATGCTTGAAGTATGATGATTTAAGGTGTCCGCAGATGCTTGACTCGATTTATTTGTCATTCGAAAAAAAAAACAGATGATGTTTGCAATTGCCGCCACTGCCACTCTACTCTTCTCGACTGTTAGCATCATATTGCTCTTGGGTATGAAATTGAGAAAGGATCACACACTATTACTTGTTTTATTTTTATGAATTCTTCTTTTTGTTCTATAGCGAAGCCGACCTTTAGCCAGCCAACGGGTAAGTCTATTTCGTAATATTAACTTGAACATTGTTTCCATCAATACCATCACATATGGCAGGTGTTGCGCGACTTCAACTGTTAGTTGTACGATATTCTGCATGCTCATCCGACAAATCCACATTCATTAATTCCATAGCTTTTTCCTTATTTCTCTGGTTTCCATAGTTTTATTCAAATTTTATTGCAATTTATGGGCCCAGAAGACTCATTATTTTTTGGTAAAAAGGTTAAATTTTTCTAATCAAGTCAAAGGTGATACTTTTGAGCATTGTTTATTAATGTTTTTCTTATGAATAAAAGTTTGAAACACTTCTCTATCAATGGCAAAGGTAAAAAACAGTGGCACATTTGTTTCATACACAAATAAGGAAGCCAATAGTACACATAGGAGCGAATGAGCAAAAAAATCGAATTAGTAAATGAGTTTAAATATCTAGGATAGTTGATAGATCTTTAGGAAACATTCAGAAATTCCTAGGAAAGCTTAAATGGTTAAGAGAAAAATGCTTCATTTCCACCAAGGTGCTTGGACAATATTTTTTTCACATACACGTTTTCTCACTTTGCATGATTATTTCTATTCTTTCCCTGTTTCCCAAGTCACAACAACAATAACTTTTACAAAAGAAATTCCGAGTTGGTCTTCACCTGGTGTATCAGTGCCCCTTTGTCTCAGCTCATAATCTATATATTATCACTAATGAACTCTCATTAGAGGCTTACGCGTTAAACACTCTATTCAAAGGAGAATAAAATTCGTGTAAAGCAATTGATAGAAAAGTATGAATTACGTCTCTTAAAATGGATATCATTTATTGAAATAAAGTAGTTGTATACAAAAAAAAGAGCGTGCAGAATTCTTCTCCCATTCTTTCTTTCTTTTCTTTTGCTTCTCTCTTTTCCTTTTTTCTGTGTCTCAAACGCCGACAAGCGTCTTCCTTCGTTTCTTTTTCTTTTTATCTTTATGTTTACTCTTTTACATTCACACCGACAAATTCAATACCCTATATAATGATATTGGTGACGACTATAAAACTCATTGCATTTATGTTATGCTTAATGCTTAAATGTCATAATTTTTCCTTATATTATCATGTAAGCACTTCCGAGTGTTGCATTTACGAGCATAATAAAAAAAAAGTAGAAATATTTAAAGTTTTTATGATAAAATTATCTATGGGTCACCTTGTGCATGTTATTATATTTTTCAACTTATAATATTTCTTTGTATAAGTAAAATGTATCAATCTCTTTTATTTCAATTGTTTTGCGTAATTACTTCCTAACATAGTGAATAAGGTTCGCATGATTGCTGCTGCAAGTCTAACACAAAAGTCAAAGAGTTCTTCTGGCGTCATCACACACTAAACTTAGAAAATGGAGAGATAGAAATAATTTATGTTTATATTTTTCTTTTCTAGCATGCTCAGCACAAAGCTCATTAATAGCTTTCGACGATATAATAAGTACAACGAGTATATCAGGAGTTCCAGTACCAAACGGCTATAATCGTTTAAATTGGGAAAATGTTCTCGTTGTGAATGGTATAAACTATTATACTCCCAATACTGGCTATACAACGGGTGTTGTTAGTCCTCCGTATCTTGTCTTCAATGGATATGGTAATCCAATGGCTGTCACAAATATGGCTACAAGTACATTTACAATAAATTCATTTTATTCATGCGCAGCTTGGCATGATAACACTATATTGACAATGACCGGTACAAGATCAGGCGCCGTTTTATATACGAAAAAAGTAGAACTATTTACACAAAAGAAAACCTTTGTTGAACTCAATTGGTCTGGCATCGATAGCATATATTTCAACTCGAGTTGTGGTTCGTGTGATGCGACTCATGTCACAATGGATAATTTGTGTGTCACATTCTAAAAACGAAATGTTAAAAAACACAAAGATTGATGCTCATAAAAATAAAATTGTTCTTCATTCTTAAAGGCTATGTAGTTCAACATTTGACAGCGACTCTTTTTTTTTAACCAAAAAAAAATGGCATAGCCAGCCACCGAAAAAATTTTGATTTTGATCTCGTATATTGCACTGGAAGGCCCATAGAAAGTTGACTCATGGGCCAAAAAAAACATCAGCTCTTGAAAACTAACGTGAACGAAGATATCATAGACAACATTTTAGCTCCATAAATGTCTATGACAAAATAAGCAAAAAACGGACCCGTTTCGTATTTTCCATGTATCTCAGTCATCTTTCGACCGTTTTTGGTGTGGAACCCACCAATCGATAGAGCATTGAAAACTGCATCGGACGTTCCATAACAGCTTTCGCACACTTTCTTATGTTGTGTGCCAGCAGATGCCGAAATATAATTATATTAGGTTGAGGAAAAAGTTCGTGCGCCGTGTTATTAATATCTTATAAAAAGCTTTAGGAAATTTTTTCTCTATATATTCTGATAGTCCAAGTCGTGCTCTGTAATTCTACGATATTTCATAAATCTTTAAAGGATACTATAATATTGAAAATATAGCAAAAACAGTGAGTAGTTT